TGCGTTATCTATTAGTATAGGTCCTGGGTGAACATCTAATTCACAAGAAAAAAGTTCAGAATACCATTTTTAAAATAATCTAACATATTTATAAGGTCTATAATAGTGATTACCAAATAAAAACAGGCTGATAGTATAGATCGTAACTATTATGAAAAAAAAGAGAATAAATCTATTTCATGTACAGTAGAACCTCGTTTATCCAGACCTCAGTTATACGGATTTGCGATTATCCGGACTACCAACCGCGACCAATTTATATTTATGTACATACTTACAATTCGAATTTTTGCTGATTAATGTAATGTTTTACTATTTGTATGTAATGTAATCTAAGAAAATATGTATGTACGTACATATGGAAGAGTTGATTTCTTAATAAACATTGATTTTTGTTGATATCTATGTATGTGATATTTTGAATAAATACATATTATTCTTCATACATTGGATTATTCGGATTTTCAATTATCCGAATGCCTATCGACAGCAATCAGTTCGATTAATCGAGGTTCTACCGTAGTTTGAAAATTATGAGCTTTTAAGTGCACTCTAGATTCTAGGGTCTAGAATTATGGTGAAACTGTGACCATTTTTCGGTTATTGTGATTCATTTTTACTAATTTTCTTCATTTAAACTTTGGGTGCGTAATCGTAAAAAACATTTATAGTTGCTCCAAATTTCCAAAAGTTAAATCTTTTTGTTAAACTATGAATATAAAGTTTTCAAAGTTGCTATACTTTGGGAGTCCTTCTTTAAAATAATGTACTAAAGTGTGTTGGCAAGTTCAATTAAAAGTTAGCAAAACGGTGAAAAAAATATAGTTTCATAATAAAAAAATCGATCAAAAAATAAAAATACGTTTATATTACATATCCAAACAGAGAATGAAAAGTACGTCGATAGAAAGAGAACTAGAACCGATCGAAGCGTGTGTCGAGGCGAATAAATACATAACAATTGATAATCACATATTACGGTCAGCACTAATAGGTTAATAATTGTGAGAATTTATAAAACTCCTATCCGATATTCATATACAATTCTCAGATATGGTCTTCTTTGTTTTGCCTATTGTCAGCAATTATATAGCCATGGCAAGACTCGTAACATAATTGGATAATTTATACACGAATCTTTTCTGTTGAGAGTGGAAAGTGAGGAGTGATCGGCGACTTGGTGTAATTCGGGAGCTGATCTTTTTATTGTCGACATCAACCGATTGCTCGGATCATGTCACGGCATGGGCGAGCTCACTCTACGTCTACACTATAAAAAATACCGTAAGCTCATCACAATCAGAGTTCACATTATATATATATATATATATATATATATATATATATATATATGTGTGTATATAGTGGCTGACCCAGCTAACGTTGTCATAAGAAACATTTACAGCAAATTTTCAGTTTAAAAAAAACTAATTCTGAAATTAGAACAATGAGGTATATAAGTGAAATGGGCAGCTAACACAAATTGATGGTTGACTCACTGCAACGCATGCCACACATAAATGTTTCTGGAACATATTAACCCTTTCCACTCGGATGCCGCAAAATTCATATAAATCTCGAAATTCGCGAGTGGAAAGGGTTAATAGTCATTGCAGGTGCCAGCCTAATCTGAAAGTGATTTCGTTTAAATTGAGTTGGCACATTCTGATATTCAAGGTTTTGATCTATAATTTTTGCGCTATTTACTGTTTGACTAATTTTTGAATAGCGAAGCAAAATACTAACATTTATTATTAAATTATGTTAAGAATTATGGAAAATTTTCCAGTTCCTTCTCAAGAACAGATTTTAAATTTCAACATTTTTTTTCTAAAACTGTTCCCTCTACAAGACATTCGAAAATTATGTTCTTCTTGTGCACCCACCATCGGGAAATATTTGTATTAAAGTATTTTCCTGTAAATCATTGATTATACAAGAGTCGATCGATAATAGGATGCATCTAAGTTTTATCGGTGATAACCATGATCTAAGAATTGTTTCGAAATGCTAATATTTTAACTTTTCTATAAGCGCAGAAAAATCTTGATCGAAATACAACAAAAATTATTCTATATGAAAAATTATTTGTCTACTAAAATGACTATTATCTATAAAATAGGAGAGTGAAAAATTAAAGTTCTGTGTATTTATAATTCAAAATTTTCAAATTTAAAAAAAAAATGGCTTCAAAATTTGAAAAAAGGGTTAGGGTTGGACAAACCTCATGAATATAAATTGTTTCTCAAAGTAAAATTTAAGCATTTTAATAAACTAAAAAAAATATGTCAGAAGTATTCATTGCCTGAACTGGATGAAACTTATTCGGTTACTAAAATGACTATTACGAATTAGGGGCTTGTGGTAGGAGAGTAAAAATTTAGGGCTGCATGTGTTCTTTAGTTATGAATAATGAAAAAGTAAATTAAAAAAAATGATAAAAGAAATAAAATATAAAGTAAAAGGTGGCCAACCCTTACTGCTTCGGGGTATGGAAAACGGATGTCATACTGAGCTTGATTATAAAATTTTATGAAGATCGGTCAAGCCATTTCGGACGATTGTCAATAAAATCAAGACACGAGAATTTTATATATATATGCATGATCCACTGATGATGACGTAGAATTTTACGTCGATATGTATTATAAGAAACGTGTATAAATATAAATAATTTTGCGTTGAGGTAATATTTAAAGAGCTTCTGAAATAGCACATTATATAAAATCATATTGAATTTTTTTGTTTGTTACGATAATATATTCTAGAATGAATACTGAATATTTAATTTAAACACTATAAAAATAAAAACTAGCATTGGCAATATGAAATTAATTATCACATAGACAAGCCATACAAAAAATCCCATACCTACCAACCGTGGACTATCTATGTTTTCCATATTTAAATTTCAATACTGCACCATTATGAATAATAATCATCTTTAATTGTCAACAAAAGTTACCAATCGTTAACACTCTATCTCATAAATACTTACATTTAATGTATTCATACAGTTCTTCGATACTTATTATTTGAATCAACATTCTAAAATAGGCGCATGTATAATACAACGAACAAATAGCTTTATCAATTCTATATGCTAAATATTTTAAATAATAGCCACTTTCATTATTACTCGTTTCATTATTAATTTCGTTTAATGATTACCCGAGGGCTTATCATACGTAAAATACACTGAATATATATAAACTATATTTTAAACAAAATTATATATGATAATGTAGAATAAAAAAATCAAAGTAGGTATTTTCCTCACGCGATTGTAAATTCCAATATTTCGTGAATTACCCGGAAGGGACTTTGCGCTCTCATTTTGATTTCACGCATACTGAAAAAATGTTTTGGAGTTCGGGATGTATTAAATATAATAATATATTCACTTTTGTGATTATACAATTGTGGGTTGGAGTGTTATAATGGCCAACATTAAAATATTATATAAATCGTTATGATCATTCATTTCGTAAGATAAGTCACCTGTATAGGTATTACTGAAAGTTCATGTACGGTTCAAAATGTATTTGTGGGTTAAAATAAGGTGACGATATTTTTTTGAGTCAAATTTTGGTCGACGAATTTTTATTTATTCTAATCCGGAACGGGAAGGGGGGGGGGGATATCCAACAACAAACGCTATTTAAAGATACAATGAAAAACAGTTTCTTTTATATGAATCAATTTCTTTCAATCTGAATTGCGGACTTTTAGTAAAAACTCTATTATTTGATTTTATGTAAAACTTTTTTATATATGATATTCATGTTTTTTCGCTTCTGTGCCTTGCATATAATTTTGTACAATTTTCTTCATGATTCATTTGAAAATATTTGCATTCTTTCATTCTTTTTCATAATTTTTGTTAATTGACGTATTGATTTTTGAAAAAAAGCGAGACAATTCGGGACAAAAGATCTAAATCCGGGACAAATATTGCTTTCAGAAAAACCCGAGACACGAGGTGGAAATCTGGGACTGTCCCGGCCAAACCGGGACGTATGGTCACCTTAGTTAAAAGCATATAGTTTATTGAAGATTAATAATATATGTGTAATAAACATAACGAATACTATTCAAGGATAGATTAAAAATTGAGTTTTTTAAAATGAATCAATTTTTGTTAATTAGAATTACACAGTGCATATCTTTTATATATTTTTCTGGCTCTTATGAGTTTCTTCGAGAACATCTTTTTCGCTTTTAAGCATTGTATATAATCCTGTACAATTTACTTCATAATTAATTGAAGTAAAATAATATCGTTTTCAGTGTGTTTATGAAGTCGGATGATTTGATATGCACAATATTTTCAGATTAAATTTTGTAAAACTACAGCAGTTAAAATATATTTAAAATGACTATTAAAAATAAGAACAATTTAAAAAAAAATCGTATACCAAATGTGCGGATCTTATTTTATTGTCAATAAAGTGGATTATGAAATGTATGTGAAAAATACTCCTATTCAGTTATATTAATATTTTTACATTGTTGATTAAAATATATGTGGGATGTTCCAGCATTTACGAATGATTTTCAAATTTAATTCTAATTTTGACAAACATGAAAATTAAATCTGAATTCTAAATCTAGTTCTATATTGCATTTTTGTATTTTTTTGTGCATCATGCTAATAAAATTTATCATAGCCATTATGAAATATTTTGGTTCAACATCATTTATTGTTCACGTACAAAGTTGAAACTTTATTTTTTTTTGCAAAAACTGGTTATAGTGCAAAAATAATGATGCCACACCATAGTTATCTCGGTTTGATTTTAGTTTTAATTTCTTAGAACGATGATATTAATATGTCTCAATTTTCATTCCAGTCACACAATGAAGAAGAAATGTTTGATAACGAAAACGATCATGAAATAGAGGAAACCGGAGATAGTGGTGATGAGAATAGTCGCGGCCACGTTGGCGATCATGATACCGTTGGTGACCACAATCCAATGGGTAACGGTACGGGAATAATGTCGGGACTCGGCGGTTCGCTAGGGCCACTAACGGCCCCCTTCATGCTCCCCAACAACGCCCAAGGACTGGATCTCTCCGAACAACACAATAGCCACTACTTGCACCACTCTGCCGATGTTTTGGAAAAACTGAAGATGCAAGTACGAGACATCAAAGTCGATAGGGTGAGTTTATTATTCTCCAGAAACCAACGACTTTTCAACTGAACTTTGTTGATTTACTAATTTTAGTGGATAATATAAACATAATAATACTAAATAAAAGTAACCAAATATGTAACGAATCACAAATTCTAATAAATCTAATAACATAAGAGATGTATCGAGCAATTGCGCGTTGTGTTTATTCAAATTTATAACACTTTAATAACATGCAATACACGAAAAATAATAAGTGTATTTCAAATTAACATAATTTGAAATAATTATGTGATTATTGAAAAACTGCATCAACCTAATTGTTATCAATACTTTTTCTATTTTCTTAGAATACTTGTTTTTCTTACTGCCTTCTTTAAAAGCTTACCCACATAAAATGACGGCATTGATATATTTACCTCAATTAGTTTTGAAATGAACATCCTGTAGTATAATTATTTTCTGCATTGAATTATAACGGCCATAAGAATATGGTTTTATTTTGTGAATGATTGCCTTGTTGTTCCATGTAATGCACTTCTTTTACTGTAAAATATATAACGTAGGGATGTAAATGTAAATATGCGTATACATGTGTCTTGTTAATTGCCTGTTCAGAAAGGTATAAAACATAATATGCATTTTGAAACCATCCGAATAAATTATATCAGTCGGATACAAGGCGCGGTTTGTTTTATTTTGCTTATCTTAAATTAACAATAATTATTAAGAAGCAGTATTATTCCGAAGTCTAAGATACATGTACTGTGCATTCCCGTTAACCCCAATATTTGTACTCTCGTCTTATTTGTCAATAAGAAAAGTTGTTTCATTTATTGTAAAAGTGTTGATAATTGTAGAGAAGCGAAAATATTAACCAAATGCACAAATGCGTGCATACATGCAAACGTAAAATGTTTTAGAAAATTTATTTGAAATAAATGGATAAAAATAATGTCTACTTTACCAGGGTTATGCACGTATTTTAAGTAACGTATTTTTTCAATACGTTATTTAATGCAAAATTTTGCGTGCATTATTTTGCTTCTTGTTTTTGTGTGTAGTAATATGTATATGCATCGTCATAAGACACTATAAAATTTTATGATTTTTATGTATGCAGCTAATAGAAGCAGAGTAGGATAATGCTCTAACAATATATGTGATTCGTATTAGAATCTAACTTGTTGTTGTTAAAGAATTATTGCTTTGTTATTGAACTCTACAATTTCAACTTTACGAAAATTATCTTCTTCTTCTATATATATAAAAATAAGTCGGGTTTTCCTTCCTGACGAAATAACTCCAGAACGCACGAACCGATTTCGATAATTTTGCATTCGTTGGAAAGGTCTCGGGCTTCGCAAGGTTTATAGCTAAGAAAATTAGTAGTGCATGGCATCGTGCCCTAATGCAAATTGCTGGAATTTCACGCACAGTAATTAAAATTTCGAGTAATGACATTAGTGAGAATTATCAGAATTATGCTTGGTTAAGTCAACTAGCAATTCTTGCCGCAAAGAATAATGATGTACACGCACTGAATTTCACCATTCAATCAAAAATTTCTGGCGATTTGGTGACATACCAATAATTCCGACTGGTTTTCCGTTTGACTTCAAACAATTGCAATTTCCAGTTTGCCTTGCGTTCGCAATAACAAGTCGCAAGGCTAATCGCTTTGTGTTTGCGGGATAAATTTTAAATAGATTATTTAGAAAATCATTGTTTTTCACATGGGCAGTTATACGTTCCCTGTTCACGAGTTCGAAAACCATCCGCTTTGTTTGTATTAACGTCAGACCAAAAAAACAAAAAATGTGGTTTACCAAAGAGCACTTCAATGAAACGGATAATTTGCGGATTCACTTTCATTTACTTAGAGAAGTTCAACTAAAAAACACTTCATGTTTGTAATCGAAATAAATTCATTACTGTTGTGCAATAAAATCAAATTTTTCCTTTTCAAATATAAAACAAACAAAAAATTTCTTCATCTTTCTCACAAAACCATCTGGTGGCGAAACGGAGTTCGTCAAGTTTGCTAGTCTTTTTATAAAATTCGTATAAACCAAACGCCGTGAAATATCTATCATCATAATTTATCAAAAATGTATAAATATAAATATAAAATCGAATATAACAAATATCAGATTCAATCACAAAACTTTGAACTGTTTTATGCGTCAGTACATACATCACTGTATCTTTTTCGCATAGTAAAGAAGTAAGTTTTTAGTAAAAATATTGTAAAATCAGCAGAAATATGTCCTAAGCATCCGGCCTTGTGGTCATTTAGCCATTATATTTATTATATACACATATCTATGCATATCATATACGAAGTCTATGCACATGCATTCTCACATTTCAGATCTACAACAAAATTATATACGAGGTCTGTTCAAAAAGTACCCGGAATTTTCGTTTTTTCAAAAAAATATTTATTTATTCGTCTACATTGTGGTCCCCTTCAAAGTAGTCCCCCCCAGATATAATACAGTTATGCCAGCGTTTTTTCCAATTTTCGAAGCACCCTTGATATTCACTTTTTGATATGTCCTTGAGCACTCTCAGCGATTTTCTTCAATCGAGGAAAACCGCCGTCCTTTCATGGGTCTCTTCAACTTTGGGAATAGGAAAAAGTCACACGGAGCCATATCTGGTGAATTTTTGCACTTTGCAACACTCTATTTCATTTTTTACGCAAAATTTAATACAAATTCTTTGACTTTTCAATTCTTCCATTGTAAAAATCGCCGAGCTCAGAAAAACACGTCGAACCTTAGCGACTACCACAGACAAAGTAAACAGTGAATATAGCTGAAAATTTCATCATACTTTAGGGGCATGTATACCAACACAATAAAAAAAAATTTTGACAATCAGACACTCCAGACCCGCGAAATTTAATTATTAGTAATTCCGGGTACTTTTTGAACACACCTCGTATATATATATATATATATATATATATATATATATATATATATATATTTGAGATTTTTTTAACAAATTTAAAAATAAATTCATAACTTGTAATCGTAGTATAGAGGGATTACAAGTTATGAATTTATTTTTAAATTTGTTAAAAAAAATCTCAAATACATATATATATATATATATATATATATATATTTATATATATTTGAGATTTTTTTAACAAATTTAAAAATAAATTCATAACTTGTAATCGTAGTATAGAGGGTTTCACCGCAAAGTGAACATTCCTTTACATATAATTGATACAATACTATTCTATATTCTTCTTATATTTTTCTTCTTATTTTCTTCAATTTTTGTTCTTTTTTCAAATTTCTAATTCTATTTAACTTTCAGCTTCATACCATTCTTTTCTTTATTCTTCTTTCAAGTTCCAATATTCCTCTTCTTACTCCTAATTCAATTCAACTGTTCGAATTCTGTTTCTGTTATACCTATTTTTCTTAATTTTTGTTCAAATTCTATTTAACAAATACAATTTTTTATTTGATTTCAAGTTAATTATACATATTATTTTTTCATAAATTCTATGTCATTGACAGGATTTGATCCGAAGACCCCTGTCGTGTGAATCGAACATGCTACCAAAGAGCTATGATCGCCACATATAATACATACATATATATATATATATATATATATATATATATATATATATTAGGGTGGTCCTTAAAATGGTCATTTTCGAATTTTCTTGCTCCCAGGGGCTCAAATGGTTCCAAATAGAAAAAAAACAATTCTCTGAAAGTTTTAGCTCTTAATATTAAGGTTTAGATAGAGCGCAATTCAATCAAAGTTTTGTATGGAAATAGCATGTAAAAATTTTCAAAAATTTTAAAAATGTTTTTTAGATGCAATTTAGCAAACAAATGAATTAATAAAACTCATTTATTTGTCGCTAAGTTAAACCTAAAACATTTTTTTCAAATTTTCAAATTTGGAACCATTTGAGGCCCTGGGAACAAGGAAATTCGATAATGACCATTTTAAGGACCACCCTATATATATATATATATATATATATGTGTGTATATATATATATATATATATATATATATATGTATATATAATACTTGGAGATTCCAGGCTTTTTACATACTTATATGAGATGGTTAATTCATCTGGTCCAACGTAGCATCTGCAACCGTGACTTTGATCTAATATGGCTAATATTAACACTTTTAATTATTATATTTGCAATTTTTTGTGCACTAATATTTGATATAAATGTGTGTGTAGGCATTTGTGTGTGTTAATAAAACTACAGATGCTTCTGATGACATGCATGCAGATTCTTCGCAAAAATTTTTCATGCTTCCATAAGAAAAAAATAAGTTTTCTTTATACCGTTCTCATTAAATAAAGTTTTCCAGGATCGTAAAGGCGAGTACGACAGCGACCTAAAGTCGTCATCCCTGCATTCGCATCTTCAGTCTTTGGCATCCCTTTCGCAGCATCATTCGGTTAGTGGCATTGGCGGCAATATCGGTGGAACTGTTGGCGGAGGAGTCGGGGTAAATGCGCAGACAAACCGCGTAAATGAGGAAGCTCAATCGGCAGCAGGCGCTTTTCAGATGCCGTACGCATTTCCTCACCCAGTCGTTTCCTCGTTCATGCCACCGCCCGCCTCCTCCGCACCTTCCGTGGTATCAAACGGTGTCGCGGTCAACTCATCGCCAGCCACTGCAGGGCAGCAGCAAGCAGGATCCGCCAGTTCTAGCAGCTCCGAAGGATCTGCCAGTTCGCAGCAAACGTGGTCTTTTGAGGAACAGTTCAAGCAAGTCAGACAGGTCAGTTCAGCATCATTTTACACTACACTTGAATTTGCATTTTACATATTAGACGAAAACTCTATGCTAGAAAAAGCCAATTGTGAATTTTTGAGCGTAGTTTAGAATTATGAACTATGTTTAGGAGGAGCACTGGCTACGTGCTCCCCCTAACCGCGCCAAAAAATGTTTGTTGCCTTGGTTTATGGCAATCGATTGTATTATTCCCATTCTCCATTATCCTCAAGTAATTTTTGTCGAAATGAAAACATATTTAACCGTGTTCGAGAATATCGGTATCTATCAGTCCCACTCATTTATGTTAACTTACATTGCTAAATTTTTTCAATGCAATGCAACACAATTAAGCAACGACTCTTTTGATCTATTTGGACGAATATTGAATTCTTCTTTGAGAGAGCCAGGTCTTGAAAAATATAATTTATATGTTCTACAATATGTTGTCAGTAATCTCAATTATTTATACATGCATATATCAAGCTCTCGACTTACAAATTCTCATCCCTTTCTTTCTCCCGTCCTAATAAGTTATTGACGTTGCTAACAATACTGGATAAATTTCATCTGATCTCGGAATAAGTATAATGTATTGTTTTCTGAATTTGTATGATTGTGCGAGTAAGAATCGTGGGACGTTCGAATTTCAGCATGCGGGTCGGTAGATTTTGTTGATTGATATTTGCGCCCATCGCCTTTATTGCCATTTACACCACCAAACGCAAGGGGTCATTTCAATTAAGTTTTCCAATAATCACATATGAAGTTGAACTATACTGGATACAAATTAGTTCGAGATAACAGTCAGTTATATTTAATTCTAAATAAAGTGACTTAATAAAATTTAAGTATGATATCGGGAGAGATCATGTAGAATGGGAATGGGATATTTTGATTATTGGCATTGCATACAGTCGAATAAGTGTGATCGGGGTAATTTTGTGTGTTAATAACGGTGTTATTTATTTTCAATAGTTCTTTTTAACAATAATTAAAATAACTCTACGTGTTATGATTTTATAGTCGGCTATTCTATTCAAGTTACGTGTTGTAAAAATTATAAACACTGATATTACACGTATAAGTTTTTGCACAAATATATATGTATACATATACATTATATATACATGTGTGAGGGCACGATTGTTTAATATATGCAAATGCCGATAGACACATGTTGCACAATAAGACAAGCAAACGCACTAATATTCAGATATTATTTAAAAAGCTTTTACGATCGTTGTAGCTTAGCATAGTCACACCTACGTGAATGACTCACGGGGCGTGCGATCGTATAAAGTGAATTCAATTGTGCAAATGGAAATAATTGTTGATGTATAATCGGCGGCATTCAGGATTTCCATTATTATAATCGTTTCGTGTAAAATCATGAATTAACAATTTGTCTTTCAAAATTTCAAATAGAATCGATTGATACCGGAATATGAATATGTTAATAGTGGTGTATAGCATCGTGCTTTAAGGCAAATTGCTGTAACTTCCCGTATCGTAATGAAATATTGGAGGAATATTAAGTGTTTTCAAATAGATTATTATAAATACTGTAACATTGTTTTATTTCTTTATAAGAATTATATAAACTGAATTAAAAAAGTCAAAATTATTTTCTTGAAGTATATAAATGAGATTTATATACTTTAAATGAGAACTTTAACTAGAATTAGAATTAAAATCCGAATTATTTTTGATATACAAAAACATTAAAAAAAAAAAAAAAATTGAAGTAACAAAAAAAATCCGAAAAGCAATTGTTTGGTCAAAACAAGCAAGTTTTTTTGAGACATTTAAATCGGATCTTTGTTCTCTAAAAAACTGCCATTTTTTGCATATTTAGCTCTGAAATGGCTGGGCCTGCCTTTGCCCAAAAATAATCACCACTTCTACCCATCATTGCGTAGTGAATGTTTTTTGCATAATTTATATCGGATACTCCGTTCTCTCATAAACTTCATTTCTAATTTTTGCTCTGTATTTCCAAACTCTGTATTTACAAAACGGCTGGACCTGTCTTTGCCAAAAACTAATTAGCACATCTCCATATCAATAGGAGTCTACTTAAGCCATTCAAATCTGTTGATCCGTGCGCCTGAAAACTTAGACTGAAAATTGCGGACACACAAAACACACACGCACACATCCATTTTTTCTGAGGTATGCCAAAATGTTCAGAAATTTCTAAAACGTAAAGATATGGAAAAAAAATTATTTTCGATTTTTGGCCCATTACTATAACTTACTCTACAGGAAGTTAATTAACATATTTACAATAGGTTCTAGATTTGACAATAACTATTAATTTAATTTACCTCTTGTTGAATTGATTTTTTGAACTTTTCAATTTACTATTCTCTTATTGTTCACACCTTTGCCAGTGTAAAGGTTTAGTTGGTCTTTTTTACCCCACGCACTGTTGAATTTAACTTAGAAAGAACAATATCATAATATTGTTCATAATCAATCATCATAAACAACAATATAATACATCTTATAAAACAATAACGCACACTTAAAAATTAAATTCAGGTAACATAAACGAAAAAAAGCGCTCAAAACTAAGAAAACTATTGACGAAAAAATTACTTTTTTTCTAATATTGCTATTCGCTGGTTAAACATCTTTCACTTGTGTCGTTAAAAAGTTCTATACTTGTTTTTGAGATAATCGTGGTGGACCATTCTACCCGCGGACTTTTAAACCCCGCTTTGCCTTATGAAATTTAATTGAATTTTAACCGTTTTAAGATTAATACATATGTTCAAAGAAATAAAATTGGGTATTGAAATTTTCAACTTTGTAGAAATGTATTATATAAGGATTGATTTTTCACCGTTCATAATTGTTATTATAAGTGATGCTCATTCTACGCAATAGTTTATGTTAAGTACATAATTTGCTTACAAAGGATGCAATATTATAAACTCGATTAGTGAATAATTGAAAATCGACCTTTTTTAAATTATTAAAATCAACGTACAAGCATAAAAGTGGTCTTCATTTCTTTCTGTATTTGTTTATTAATATTTATTCTTATTTTGACTCATCTATTTGAATTGACTTTCTTTTTAGTCACCGATTACAGTTTTAATCTAGGAAACTTTGTCGATTTTTAGAAAGAGTTCCGTTTCATTAACACCCCTATTGGGATGCAATAACCACATCCGTTCATATTTAATATGAATATTATTGCGTTTTTTTACTCTCATTCTTGCGAACACATGTGTCACTTTCGAACTGCAATGTAGACACAATCAGCTTCACAATCATCGGGTTATATATATATATATATATATATATATATATATATATATATATATATATATTATATATATAATATTTACATAATTTATCAAATTGTATGTACTTAATGGTACAATATAGTATTATAACGGTTACTTGAGAATACCGTTTCAGATAATCATTTGGAACACGTACAAGAATTTCTTCTGTTGTTAAGACATATTTGTCACTAAAATATTAAATGAAATGAATTCCTCATGACAGAAAAAATGGAATTTTTTGCCCTACACGCTTACATAGATAATTCATTCACCTAAATAATTACATATGTGAATATATTCGACAACGTAAACAATGTTTAGAAAGTTTGCCAATCTTCCTGTCAATTCCAATTGATTATCACAAATATTAACACTTACAATTAGAAATTTAGCATATAGACTCAGATTGAAAGAAACAATGTGATGTAAAATATATGGGAAGTTATAGGTATAGACAATTATTTATTATATTACTTTACACTAGATGCATTTATACTAAATATAAACCCAATCGCTTCTTTCCACGCGATTTAAAAAATTACCTATTATTTGATTTCATTTGTGTCAAGCATGAGAAATATAGTAATTAATGCGCATATTACAAGTTTCAACTGTCTTCTCTTAGGTATCTGTCCAAAAATTTCAGAAATTAATATTACTCGTTGTGTTGAATTTTTTGAATAAGCTGATGCAATTATTAACTAGTGGTGCATGACATCATGCCTTAAGGCAAATTTCTGGAACCTCCCGTACCGTTGTTTTAAAATTTTTTGAAAATAAAAAGAAATTAGATTTTTCAGATGTTTGAATTTTTTGAAAAAAAAAAAGACTTAAAAACTTTGATTTTTTTATTTTGAAAACTTTGAACTTTTTGAAATTACGGCATTTATTTTTACCGACTCAAATTCGCAAATATTATTTTAATATAGTTCCGAAACAGACAAAATCACAACACACCCGTGAAATAGGCCTACTGGCGAAACCACGTAAAAAAACTCGCTAAGCATACTACCTCGTAGATAGCGTTTAAACGTACTTTTCAAAGTGATATATCTGACTTGACTTTGAGATTTCTTTTATAATTGTATTTTAAACAATTTTATCAAGTTACAGCCCAAAAAGAATTTTTGTAACCTTGAATGCGTAAATTGACCAGGCTATTTACACCGGGCGAAAAATGTATTCATAGCATTATCAAAAAGTTATATTATCTCTTTTCTTTTTAATCTTATATTATATTTTTTGTCAACATTTACATCAACTCAAATTGAATTCAAATTAATTTCAGTTTTTAACTCTTTCGGATAAGCTTTTATAGATGATTGTACGTTTTGCGACAGGCGGTTGCGATTACGAAGCTGAGTAACAGACGAATTGTGCTTTGGCAGCATGTATCGATCGAACTGTTAAAATAAGAATCCGCCACTTATTAATTTGTGTTAAAAACAACATCTTAGAATGGTCGTAAACATTACGGTAGATTTGAGCGTAAACTAAGCAATCAGTGTTGCTGTTGGCCGTATGGAGCGTATGGGCCGCCTGGCAATCGCTGGCTCTCGCCGGCTCTCGACTTACTGCGCCCGGTCAGAGTGCAAGCAGTAAATTCATCACCGCGAATCCATTAAAATATACTCTCGTTGATTTACCATTCTTTGAACATTGTGCCTACAATGTAAAAAATATTTATGCGCCACACGATACATC